GTCTGGCTGCTGGGTTTGGGGCTCCGGCTTCGTTTGCAGGCCTATAGAAAAGTGACGTGCGCTTTACAATTATTTCGTAATGCAAGCAAATGTGACCGAGCCAAAGCCAGCCAGCAGAGGCCAAGAGGAAGAGACACACGCAGAGAGAGAGAGAGAGGGAGAGGCGCCGGTACCCCTACTATATTCAGCTGGCGCCCGTTCGCCCACCCTACCCCCGCCCCGCTGAGTATCTGACGCTGCGACGTCAGCGGTGACAAATGTCAGTCGGTGGTTGCACTACTAATCGGACATGTTGCGTTGACTTGTTTATGACTGCCAGCTTAGCACGCACATAAACACATTCACACACAAACACACACACACACAGAGAGAGAGACACACTCACAGACTCACACACTCGAGACGTGTTTTTTGTTATGTTTGCGGACTTGTGGGAAATCTGTAAATAGCTGCAAAACTAGAAGCCATCGACGTCGCCCAAGAGACAAAGCACTCGTCATCAAAGCTGGTGTCGTGCTTGATGCTGCTGCTGTTGCTGCTGCTGTTGCTGCTGCTGCCCGGCATTACCCGCGGGAATAATACCAGACAGTCAGCCAGATAGGCAACGGCAACAATCAACACATTGACTGCCATTTTCGTAGCGCTGCACGCGGCGTATGCGTAATCTTTGAATAGCACAAGTCCGTCATCTACTTCACTGGCTCTGGCTCCGTTTGTTGACAACTGAAATAATTTTGGTCAATGCCAACTTGGGCCATGTGGCTTGAACTTAAGCAGAGAAGACTTTTTCGGTTTGCCGCACATTTATATATTTTTTATTTGTTTAAAGCAGCGAAAATATACTTGACTTTATTCATTTTTAGACAACATTTCGAGCTTAGAATCAAGTTTAAAATTTCAATTCAAATTTTATTTGTAGGCAATTAGTTGTAAGAATAATTAAAGTAGTCTCCTGGACAGACGTTTATCGAGTCAAATTTCAATTTGCCAAAAATTTCATAAATATTTCAGCAATTCCTGTTGAGGCGCCAAGTCCTTTAACCGCCAAGCCAAACAATTTTGTTTGTTTTGTTTCTCTTCTCCCCTTTTTTAGATTGCTTGATTTACCTCTCCAGTGCAAATTTTATTCATACTTTATTATACTTAAGCATTGAAGCATGTGTAGTCTCGACTTTAACAAATGCGTTTTATGAAAAATCAAACTAAACAAATTGCCTGGAATATAGCAATAGGATTTATTTTTATTTTATTTATTTATTTTTTTAAATAATTTTATTGCAGCATTTTTTAATAAGCCTTAACTATTAGAATGGCTAAATGCCTTTATTGCTACTAATTCTAGTCTTTCTAGGATTTCTAGTAATAGTGTTCTTATATCTCATATATCTCATATATCTCATCCTGAAACATATATTAATTTTTT